GTGCTGCCGATATCAACAAACAGGAATCGTTCTTTATTTTTCTAACACACGTTAGAAAATGACAGGTGTAATGTGATTGGTTCCCACAAGAAACGCCTCTACTACTTATGACATAATCGGCCCTCTTGGTTACTAAATGAAGAAATCTTTGTCATGCACTCACCAGACACTGGTTACAATATCGCCCCGTCACAAATCTCTTACAGTAGCAGTCACCGCTAATTTGGTCACATGGGCTGTTACCGGCTACAATCCCACGAGGATCACACTGGCATGCTGGGAAAAAAAAAAAGTTTGTAGGGTACAAACATAAAAAAAAAATCTTTAAAGTGTTACTAAACCTACAGCAGTACAATCAGTCTGTAGATGCAGTAAAGCATGCTTGTTATACTCACTGTGGAACCTAAGGGGTTAATCCTCTGCATTGTGTAAAAAGGCTGTTTGATCCTGTCTTCTCTGATCCTCCTTTTGCTGAAATGACCACCTGACACAGACTAAATCCGTAGTCACATGCACATGCTCAGTTTGGTGTATATTGCTAGAGAGGTTTTTTTTTTTCTTTGGAGAGTGCATGTGGTCAGCACAGGGCCAAATGGCACCCCAGATAGAGGGTCAGGGGTTCTGCATCCTCCTAGAGCAGAAAGAAAACTCCTCCTACAAGCTCTAACCAGTGCTCAGCTGAAGTCACAAGACCGCTGATGAGAAAAGGTATTTAGCAGATTATATTTACTAAAATAATTTAATTTCCATGTTGTGTGTACTGTTAACCCTGTACAGGCTGAACCTAAAGGGGGTTAACTGATCTTGCAACCCATAGTAATCCGCGGTATCAGCTTCAGCGGTTGGCAGCCTGTAAGGGGTTAACTGTGCTAAAGTCGCAGATCGGCAAGCTGCTTCTTCGGCCTGAAACCAGGCACATGCGCAGTTGCTTCAGGGGATACATATCTTCATGGGTTGGGATACTAATTTTACTGCTACACCGGGGGGCAGCTGTCACTGTGCCGAGAATCCGGGATCACCCCAATAACTGGCCAGGACCTTCGCAGAGCACAGAAGCTCTGCTGGCATCCTGCTCCTGCACCCCCTGTCACGGCGCTATATAAGTACCTGAAATAAATAAATAAATAAATAAAAAACCGCGTCTTATAGACTTTCATGCAAAGTTGCGTCTCATAGACTTTCATGCAAAAATGCCTTGTAGTGACTTCAATGCAAAATCATGTCTTGTAGACTTTCATTCAAATTCACGTCTTGTAGACTTTCATACAAAAACGACCTCTAGTGAATTTATGCACCCCCCTAGGGACGCCACTGGACAAAACACATTAAAAACGCACCGGTGTGTTCCGCTGCATTTTCTGATGTGTTTAGCCGCATTCCAGACACATTCCATGCAGAAAAAAATGTCCTCAATTCAGATGAAGTAAGAAAGAGGGGAAAAATGCACAGGAACACAAAAAAAAAACTAAAAACAAACCAAAACAAACCAAAACAAACAAAAAACACCCCCCCTTCCCCCCGAAAAAATGGCCAACTCCATGGGCCACTTGGTCTTTTTCTGCCTTCACTTTTCTATGTTTCTATGTAAAATGCATCTGGAAATGAGACGTTCTGGTGTGAACCGACCCTAAGGCAACACAGGAACACAAAAAAACAAACAAAAAACAAAACAAACAAAAAAACAACCCCCCCCCCCAAAAAAAAATAAAAGGCCAACTCCATGGGCCACTTGGTCTTTTTCTGCCTTCACTTTTCTATGTTTCTATGTAAAATGCATCTGGAAATGAGACGTTCTGGTGTGAACCGACCCTAAGGCAACACAGGAACACAAAAAAACAAACAAAAAACAAAACAAACAAACAAAAAACAACCCCCCCCCCAAAAAAAAAAAAAAAGGCCAACTCCATGGGCCACTTGGTCTTTTTCTGCCGTCACTTTTCTATGTTTCTATGTAAAATGCATCAGCAGAAATGCCTCTGAAAATGAGAAGTTGTGGTGTGAACCGACCCTAAGGCAACACAAAAAAAAAAAAAAAAGCTGAAAAAAACGCAAAATGCCATTTTGCCTCTGAAAAGTGATTTGAACACAAACAGCTTTACAGAAGCACACCAACCTTGCCACATCTAACTCCTGGTTCACGCCGATGCGTTTTTGCTGCGCTTCTTGTGAAACGCACTACAGTCCATTTAACATGGTTTCCTATGGGACACGTTCACATCTCTGCTTTTTTGAACTGCCGCGTTTTTTAGAAAGGGTCAGGGACTTTTTTTTAAATGATAGAGTTCAACGTAGAAGCTGCTGAAATGCATGTAGTGTGTTTTTTCCACGTTTTGCGTTCTTTCTTCTGCTCAGCAGCAAAAAAAATTAGATTTTAAAAAAAAAAAAAACAAAAAGAAAAAATGCAAAAAGTGGTAATAACGCAACACGCAGTAAAAACTCCTTTCTGTGTTCGAGCCCCGGTGGGCGGGGCGAAACGCGTGAGTGAGCATGGCTGGAGCAGTCGCTGATTCATGCGTCTGACTTGGCCCTTCCCATCAGCTACAAATGGTAAAAACGCCTTTCTGTGGTCAAGCCCCAGTGGGCGGGGCGAAACGCATGAGTAAGCATGGCTGGAGCAGTGGCTGAGGCCAAGCCATTCCTGCTTCTGACTTGGCCCTTCCCATCAGCTACACATGGTAAAAACGCCTTTCTGCTGTCAAGCCCCAGTGGGCAGGGCGAAACGCGTGAGTGAGCATTGGTTGGAGCAGTGGCTGTGGCCAAACCATTTATGCGTCTTGACTTGGCCCTTCCCATCAGCTACACATGGTAAAAAACGCCTTTCTATGGTCAAGCCCCTGTGGGCGGGGCGAAATGCATCAGTGATGGGTGTGGGGCAGCAGTGAGCCAAGCCATTCATGCGTCTGACTTGGCCCTTCCCATCAGCTACAAATGGTAAAAACGCCTTTCTGTGGTCAAGCCCCAGTGGGTGGGGCAAAACGCATGAGTGAGCATTGGTGGAGCAGTGGTAGTGGCCAAACCATTCATGCGTCTGACTTGGCCCTTCCCATCAGCTACACACGGTAAAAACGCCTTTCTGTGGTCAAGCCCCAGTGGGCAGGGCGAAATGCATCAGTGAGCATGGTGTGGCTGGAGCAGTGGCCAAACCATTCATGCGTCTGACTTGGCCCTTCCCATCAGCTACACACGGTAAAAACGCCTTTCTGTGGTCAAGCCCCTGTGGGCGGGGCGAAATGCATCAGTGGGTGTGGCTGGAGCAGTGGCCAAGCCATTAATGCGCCTGACTCTTGGGGTTGGTTGAGTGGTGTCCATCTTCCCTTCCCATCAGCTACACAAAAAATTCGCCAAAAATGCGCGTGTAAAAACGCAGAGCACAATACAAAAAACATTACATAAAGGGATCAAAAGCAAAAAGCATAGGTGTGAATAGGGCCTCAGAGGAGGATGGGCGGAGTACTCACGCTGACACCCCAGGGGGTCGTTTCTGCTGAGCCCATAGAAATTTTCCTTGCAGCTGTCGCATCGTTCCCCCTTCACGTTTTCCTTGCAGCGGCACTGTCCTGCGATCATCCCCAGGTTGACATTGGTGTGGCTGTCACAGACCCCACCGTCCAAGGAGCCCACCGGATCACAGTCACAGGCTGCAGAATAAAATTGGAAATAATATATTCACTTTCCGGGTCTTTTTAGAAAACTTGAAGGGTTAATTCACCCCGAAACTCATTTTGGGGGCGGTGACATCTCTGCTCTACGCAGGCTGTGCTCAATATGAGGAGCTGACACTCCCCCTGCTGGAGGTTTCTTGTAGTTTATTTTACATTATGGAATAGGAAGGGCGGGGACACACATAGGTGGGCGGGGACATCCAAAACTTCCAGGTGTGCAGGAGCAGAGTCAGGAATTATGGCATTGAGATCTCTCTGTTGGAGTAGCCGAGACATAAAAGAAGGTTGAACCCACCTGGCTCCACCTATAACTAAAATATGACTTTTGAGTGGACTGGTCTTTTAACAAAAACAAAACAGCCACCCCAAAAAAGGTTTGATATACAAATGCAGATCCACATTTGAGTAATCTGCGGGTGGTGTTATCCTTGAAGTGAGCCATATTTTACCAATACCAATACAGGTTTGCTTTAAAAGCTGAAGTTTATAGTGCTTACGATTTGCCCTCCTTGGTTCCCGGCCCGCCCTCCCTCCCCCCCCCATGAACACACTAATGAGATTTTTAAATAAATCCCTTTTCACTACTCGCCGTAATTTAGACCCAGTGACATCATCACTGGGTCTCTGTGCTTCTCTATGCTATCAGATCATGCACTTCTGGGAGGCGCTGTACGCAGCTTCCTGAAAACATCACAGCACCCTGCTTCATTACAGCAGTGGGCTGGCTCTTGGGAGGAGTTATCAAAAATGTTTTGGTGGTGCGGATGTTGGTCTGAATTCATGGGTGTGGCCTGTCACCTGCCTATGGCATTAGTGATGCTGAGCCTGAACTGATTTTTAAATAAATCCCTTTTCACTACTCGCCGTAATTTAGACCCAGTGACATCATCACTGGGTCTCTGTGCTTCTCTATGCTATCAGATCATGCACTTCTGGGAAGCACCAGCAGGGTGCTGTATGCAGCTTCCTGAAAACATCACAGCACGCTGCTTCATTACAGCAGTGGGCTGGCTCTTGGGAGGACTTATCAAAAATGTCTTGGTGGTGCGGATGTCAGTCTGAATTCATGGGTGTGGCCTGTCACGTGCCTATGGCACTAGTGATGCTGAGCCTGAACTAAAATCCAATGAATAAAAGGGGCGGGGCCAAGGACAGACTAGGCTGAGGAGGAAAGAGCGATATGATCCTGGACGTCCTCCAGCCAGGAAACTTTCTACGACTTCTAATGTACATTGTGAGAAGCTCACAGTGTGCAGTGTAATCAGATTAATCCATTTTCAGTATGAGAGAGAAGAATGTCCAACTGTGCAGGGCTGAAGGGAAGGCTGGAAATTAGATTTACCGCCCCCCCACGCCCCCGAGCATTTTATTAATGAGCCAGAAGACAAACTCACGGACGCAGGCCGTCTCGGCCCGGATGTCAGACCAGGGGTTCAGGTAGTAGAACGGTTTGCAGAGCTCACAGTTGCGTCCCATCGTGTTGTGCTGACAGTCGTCGCATACGCCGCCGCTCACCCCTCCGGTGGCCAGATACACCGCCATGTCAAAGTGGCACCTTACGGAGTGATTGTTACAGTTGCATCCTGGAACACAGAAAAAAAAAACACAAACCCCTTGAAAACCGTTATTGGCTGTGCGCGGCGCTGGCGGCACAGAACGCGATCGGCCGAGCGAAGTCGTACTTTTGCAGGAATGGGGGTTGTCTGGTTCCGCTGGTCTCCATGGATGATCGTGGTGGAAGTCCTGGCACAGCTCACAGTTCAGGCCCGTGGTGTGATGTTTGCAGACACATCGGCCGTGGATCTAGGACAGACAGCGGGCGGGAATTAGTTGATCGTAATAAAGTAAAATCGCGATAAAGCAAACCGCGTCAGTAAATTTGCAGCAGCTGGCAGAAAAAAAAAGCAAAACGCAAAAAAAAAAAACACTACATATGTTTCAGCAGCAAATTTTAAAAAAACTCCCAGCAAAACGCGTCAGAAAATTTTCCAGCAGCTGGCAGAAAAAAAAAGCAAAACGCGACAAAAAAAAACACTACATGTGTTTCAGCAGCAAATTTAAAAAAAAACTCCCAGCCCCTTTCCAAAAACGCGGCAGCTCAAAAAACCATAGAAGTGAATGTGTCCCATAGGAAACCAGTTCAATGGACTGCATTGCGTTTCTGCTAAAAGCACTAAAAAAAATGCATTACCGTGTGTTGCGTTATTACCACTTTTTGCATTTTTTTTTCATTTTTTTTGTTAAAATTAATTTTTTTTTTGCTGCTGGGCAGAAGAAAGAACGCAAAACGTGGAAAAAAAACACTACATGCATTTCAGCAGCTTCTCCATCTATCATTTAAAAAAAGTCCCTGACCCTTTCTAAAAACGCGGCAGCTCAAAAAAGCAGAGATGTGAACGTGTCCCATAGGAAACCATGTTCAATGAACTGCATTGCGTTTCTGCAAAAAGCGCTGAAAAAAAAATCGCATCAACGTGAACCAGGGGTTAGGTTAGGTGTGGCAAGGCTGGTGTGTCTCTGAAAAGCGGTTTGCGTTCAAATCACTTTTCAGAGGCAAAATGTCACCTCCTCACCCTGTAAATGCCACACCAGTGTGCCACAGCCATGTGCGTTGCTCACAGTTGCAGGGCATTTGCGGTGGATCCCCACTCACGGGTCACTTCTGGCAGGATCACTGTACAGCAGTGCTTCTCAATTATTTTCTGTCATGCCCCCCCTGGAAGAAGAAAACATTTCGCGCCCCCCCGCGCGACTGTAAATAATATCATTTGTCTATAAAATTGTTATAAGTTATAAGTAGGGGAATAGTGCCCCATCATTGGTGTCAGTGGGAGGAATAGTGCCCCATCATTGGTATCAGTGGGGAGGAATAGTGCCCCATCATTGGTGTCAGTGGGAGGAATAGTGCCCCATCATTGGTGTCAGTGGGGGGAATAGTGCCCCATCATTGGTGTCAGTGGGAGGAATAGTGCCCCATCATTGGTATCAGTGGGAGGAATAGTGCCTCATCATTGGTGTCAGTGGGGGGAATAGTGCCCATCATTGGTGTCAGTGGGGGGGAATAGTGCCCCATCATTGGTGTCAGTGGGGAGGAATAGTGCCTCATCATTGGTGTCAGTGGGAGGAATAGTGCCCCATCATTGGTGTCAGTGGGAGGAATAGTGCCCCATCATTGGTGTCAGTGAGGGGAATAGTGCCTCATCATTGGTATCAGTGGGAGGAATAGTGCCCATCATTAGTATCAGTGGGTATCAGTGGGAGGAATAGTGCCCCATCATTGGTGTCAGTGGGAGGAATAGTGCCCCATCATTGGTATCAGTGGGAGGAATAGTGCCTCATCATTGGTGTCAGTGGGGGGAATAGTGCCCCATCATTGGTGTCAGTGGGGGGAATAGTGCCCCATCATTGGTGTCAGTGGGAGGAATAGTGCCTCATCATTGGTGTCAGTGGGAGGAATAGTGCCCCATTATTGGTATCAGTGGGAGGAATAGTGCCCCATCATTGGTATCAGTGGGAGGAATAGTGCCCCCATCATCATTGGTATCAGTGGGAGGAATAGTGCCCCATCATTGGTGTCAGTGGGAGGAATAGTGCCCCATTATTGGTGTCAGTGGGAGGAATAGTGCCTCATCATTAGTATCATCCCCATTGGTGTCAGTGGGAGGAATAATGCCCCATCATTAGTATCAGTGGGAGGAATAGTGCCCCATCGTTGGTGTCAGTGGGAGGAATAGTGCCCCATTATTGGTGTCAGTGGGAGGAATAGTGCCTCATCATTGGTGTCAGTGGGAGGAATAATGCCCCATCATTAGTAGTGCAGTGGGTGTCAGTGGGAGGAATAGTGCCCCATCGTTGGTGTCAGTGGGAGGAATAGTGCCCCATCGTTGGTGTCAGTGGGAGGAATAATGCCCCATCATTAGTATCAGTGACACCAATGATGCGGCACTATTCCTCCCACTGACACCAATGACACTTGCTGACCCCTGTTGCAGTATGGTGCTGCTGCAGCCAGCATATGTGGTTGCAGCAGCACCTCTGCACTGCACACTTACCGGCTTTTCCCTCACTCGATTTTCGCGGGTCCGCTCGGCTCCGCCTCCTCACCCGTGATTGGCCGCCTGTGTATCTTTCCTGAGCTACAGTTCTGGCGGCCAATCACCGGTGAGGAGGCAGAGCCGAGCGGCAGGAGTGAGGGAGTGACCGGAGTGGACGGAAGGAGCAGCGCTTCCTGGATGGATCATCGTGGGAGCCAGGTAAGTGACAGCAGCCCTCTGCCCACCCCTGTACGCGCCCCCCTTGACGGAGCCTCGGCGCGCCCCACTATTTGAGAAGCACTGGTGTACAGCAATGACAGTAGCTAGTAGACTAAACTGAGCACGTGCAGAGTGACTCCTAGAGCTCTGTACTATTAGCAGACGGATTGGGGACAGCAGAAGAAGGGGAGGATCAGAGAAGTCAGGATCAAACAGCCTTTTTACACAATGCAGAGGATTAACCCCTTAGGTTCCCACAGTGAGTATAACAAGCATGCTTTACTGCATCTACAGACTGATTGTACTGTTGTGGGTTTAAAGAAGAATTCCAGATATGGATATTTTTCACATAGTTACAATGGTACACCTTAGACCCATGTGACTACGTATATACCGTATCTGTGGGATCTCTCTAAAAGCTGGAAATGTCTGTATTAGCACTGCTACTCCAGTGATCTCCACTAGTTTCTGGGTCCAGTGCTCAGCAGCTGCCCTGCATTGTGAACACAGGAGGTTGGTTGATCAGCACAGGCACCATTCACAGAATGCATTGGCTTTTTCAATGAATGCAAATCATTCTCTTAATGGATGAAGTGGAGGGCGTGAATTCTCTGAATGAAACTTGTGCCAAGCAGCCAACCTCCTGTTTTCACAATGCAGCAGGGCAGCCACTGGACATGGGATATGATTTCTGAGGATCCCACAGGTATGGTATATGAATACTTACATTGGTCCGAGGTGAACCAATGTAACCACACTATATCGCCCCAAGAATTGGTTGGCCAGCCTTTCCATGCAACTTTAATGGCCCCCCAGTCTTAGTCCGTAGGGTTCAATATTGAGTTGGCTCCGCCCTTTGCAGCTATAACAGCTTCAACTCTTCTGGGAAGGCCGCCCACAAGGTTTAGGAGGGTGTCTATGGGAAGGTTGGACCATTCTACCAGAAGCACATTTGTCAGGTCAGGCACTGATGTCGGGGGAGGGGGCCTGGCTCGCAGTCTCCGCTCTAATTCATCCCAAAGGTGTTCTATGGGGTTGAGGTCAGGACTCTGTGCAGGCCAGTCAAGTTCCTCCACCCCAAACTGGCTCCTCCATGTCTTTATGGACCTTGCTTTGTGCACTGGTGTGCAGTCATATTGGAACAGGAAGGGGCCATCCCCAAACTCTTCCCACAAAGTTGGGAGCATGAAATTGTCCAAAATGTCTTGGTATGCTGACGACTTAAGAGTTCTCCTGGCATATGCCATACCCAGACACATCCATTGGATTGTCAGAGAAGAGTGATTGGTCACTCCAGAGAACATGTCTCCACTGCTCTAGAGTCCAGTTGCGACGTGCTTTACACCACTGCATCCGACGCTTTGCATTTCACTTGGTGATGTAAGGCTTGGATGCAGCTGCTTGGCCATGGAAACCCATTCCATGAAGCTCTCTACGCACTGTTGTTGGGCTCATCTGAAGGCCACACCAAGTTTGGAGGTCTTTAGCTATTGACTCTGCAGACAGTTGGGGACTTCTGCGCACTGTGCGCTTCAGCATGCGCTGACCCCGCTCTGTCATGTGACGTGGCCTACCACTTGGTGGCTGAGTGTTGCTGTTGTTCCCAGTTGCTTCCACTTTGTTATAATCCCACTAACAGTTGAGCGTGGAATATTTAGTAGCCAGGAAATGTCACGGATGGACTTATTGCCCAGGTGACCACCTATCACGGGACCACGCTTGGAGTCACTGAGCTCCTGAGAGCGACCCATTCTTTCACCAATGTTTGTAGAAGCAGTTTGCATGCCTAGGGGCTTGATTGTATACACCTGTGTCCATGGAGGGGATTGGAACACCTGAATCACATGATTTGGAGGGCGGGGCCAATACTTTTGGCAATATAGTATATGTAAAAAAGGCCATACCTGGAATTCTTCTTGAATGGAAACACCATGAGACACCCCAAGCTCTACACTGAGGCCTGTTCTATGAATGACTGACTAACTCTGCTTCAGTCTTTGAGAATCTCCACCCAGTGATGAGATTCCAAGTAGATTTCCTCCGCTATTATATGATGACATAAGTTGGGTTACATTACCATTCCTTCCACTCCTCCTTCAATCCCTTCCACGGGGGAGCACTCCGAGGCATGCCCATAACAGAAGCAGCTCCCACGGACCACCAGCTCGTACACTGCGAAATAATACTTCTGTAGGACTTCTGCCCGCTGATCCAACAGATTGTCTCCCAACGTGTGAAGCTTGGTGAAATTGATCCTCAAGTTTGTAATCTGCAGGAGCTCTGTAGAATACAGACCAAGATTTACTAAGAAAGCATTTAAAGTGGAACTTTAGTCAGAACATCTTAGACCTAACCAGGGGTGGCACTGCCCGAGGGCCCGGGGTCAGTAGGGGGCCCCATGGTATGCCCCTGGTACATTTTATAGGCTTTTTTGGGTGTGGTATGAGTGTGGGCAAGGACATAGGGTCCCCATGAACCCCTATTGGCCGGGGGCCCCATGAGTTGACAGTCCACCCCTGGCCCTGACAGGTCACTTCAGGCTGGCTACATATTGCAGGTATAGCTATGTGAAAAAATATGTGCCTATACTGTTTAAGGCACAGCTCTGCACATGCTCAGTCGCTTTCTATTCTCAGCACTGTGCCTAAAATCAGAGCCACTAGAGGTCAATCAGCTTTACAAATTACTGTTGATGTAGGAGGAAGAAAGCAACAGGAATGACAATGACCATGTGGAGGGAACACAGATTAGGGAAGGAGAAAAGAAAAGCAGGAGAGAGGACAGGACAAACTCTGCTGCCAGGAAGACACAAATGAGTTAACATCGGAGTCCCCCCCCCCCCCCCACAAACAAAATAAATAAAAGTTAGTAGCTACAAATACTGTAGCTGTTGACTTTTAATATTAGGGCACTTACCTGTCCAGGGATCCAGCAGTGTCCTCACTCGAGCCCATTCTTCAATCGTCTATTGACTGCTGGCGCCACCATCTTGACTAAGGGAACCTGGCAGTGAAGCCTTGCGTATTCACAGCCAATTTCCTACTGCGTATGCATGAAGTGTTATAACGGGGGACCTACCTTGTATCTCCAAGCTGTAGGGATCTTCTACTTTGATAGCTGGATCAAGGACTTTGAAAATCACCTGAAAAAAATGAACAGCTGAATGTTCAATTGCAAATTTTTTTTTTTTAGAAGAGTTCATATTCCATTTGGATATAAAAATTGTATAGTTTTTTCCAGGGATTTTTTTCCTCAGAAAATAGGTGCAGAAACTCAACCATGACCCCCCTCACCCCAAACGCACCCTCCAAACCGCATCAAATAGTGGGTTTGGTCAGATTTCACTAACGATGGGAGAGTCTTAAAGGGGCATTAAATACCAGGAGTGCATTGCGTACAGAGTGCAGAGTTTGGTGGGGGTTACATACAGAGAGCAGAGTCCAGGGATGTGCTATGTGCAAAGTGCAGAGTTTAGAGGTGCGCTGCATACAGAGTGCAGAGTTCAGGGGTGCGCTGCATACAGAGTGCAGAGTTCAGGGGTGCGCTGCATACAGAGTGCAGAGTTCAGGGGTGCGCTGCATACAGAGTGCAGAGTTCAGGAGTGCACTTCATACAGAGTGCAGAATTCATGGGTGCGCTACACAAATAGTGCAGAGTTCATGGGTGCGCTACACAAATAGTGCAGAGTTCATGGGTGCGCTACACAAATAGTGCAGAGTTCAGGTGTGCGCTACACAAATAGTGCAGAGTTCATGGGTGCGCTACACAAATAGTGCAGAGTTCATGGGTGCGCTACACAAATAGTGCAGAGTTCATGGGTGCGCTACACAAATAGTGCAGAGTTCATGGGTGCGCTACACAAATAGTGCAGAGTTCAGGTGTGCGCTACACACATCCCACACATCCCTGGAGTTCATGGGTGCGTTACACAATGAGTGCAGAGTTCAGGGGTGCGCTACACACAAAGTGCAGAGTTCAAGAGTGCGCTACACACAAAGTGCAGTTCAGTGGTGCACTACACAAAGAGTGCAGAGTTTTGCCTTCTTCCACAGCTGCTTACCTCTGCATCCCCCATCCGCATCTCATTTTTTTTTTGGAAGAGTTCATATTCCATTTTTTTAATGGAAGTTATAATTGTATAGTTTTGTCCAGGGCTTTTTTTCTCAGAAAATAGGTGCAGAAACTCAACCACAACCAACCTACCCCCACACACACCCTCCAAACCACATTAAATAGTGGGTGTGGTCAGATTTCACTAACAGTGGGAGAGTCTTAAAGAGGCATTAAATACCAGGAGTGCATTACGTACAAAGTGCAATGTGTACAAAGTGCAGAGAGTTCAGGGGTGTGCTTCACATAGAGTGCAGAGTTCAGGAGTGTGCTGCATACAGAGTGCAGAATTTCAGGAGTGCGCTGCGTACATAGTGCAGAGTTCAGGAGTCCGGTGCATACAGAGTGCAGAGTTCAAGGAGTGCGCTACACACCGAGTGGATTTCAGGGGATTTCAGGGGTGCGCTACACACAGAGTGCATAGTTAAGGGGCTGCGCTACACACAGAGTGCAGAGTTCAGGGGTGCGCTACACACAGAGTGCAGAGTTCAGGTTCAGTGCACTACACACAGAGTGCAGAGTTCAGGGTGCACTATACACAGAGTGCAGAGTTCAGGAGTGCGGTGCATACAGAGTGCAGAGTTCAGGAGTGCGGTGCATACAGAGTGCAGAGTTCAGGGGAACGCTACACGCAGAGTGCAGAGTTCAGCCTTCTTCCACAGCTGCTTACCTCTGCTTACCTCCCCCCCATCCACATCTCACTCACCCACCCCCCCCCCCTTAGCTCTGACCTCCACTGCACTCATCTTCCCAACCCCCCCCCCCCTCTTTAAAAGCTCCAACATCTGCCACACGTCTTACCTTTGTTGCCGTATTAAGCTCAAGCAGGCTCTAGTACCTCCCCATACACTGTACATGGCTCCACCTCTATCACTTGCAGGGAGATCATTCAGTGGGGTGTTGGCATCCTCACTGCACCCTGAGCACCTGCATCTCCCTTGTCCCCATCCTGCACTCAGTGGGATTTGCTCAGGAGATCAGATCTGTAGGAGTCATTGGGAGACAAGCTATCACTTGTAAACACAGAAGCTGGGCTTCTGTGTTTACAAGTGATAGTGGTGATCAGGGAGCAGAGGGCCTGAGTCAGAGGTGGTGGAACAGAGATCAACCATGTTCCAGCTGAGAAAAAACCTTGGTTTTGTCCCGGTTTGTCTTCAATCTGGAAGTTGGATTACTCAAAAGTAATAACCTGCAAGGGACAATGGACCAATCAGCATATCAGCTGATATAATTTTAATCATTTTAATAAATCACTTGGGTGGGTGGATCAAAAATGGGCAACTTCAGGGTAGCAAGCATAGGAGCTGTCAAGAGGTTTAAGTAATGACTTAAACCTCTTGACAGCTTTTATGCTTGCTACCCTAAAGTTGCCCATTAATTTCTGGTTTCATAGCCCCATGGTGGTAAACACTGACCTCTCCTTCCGTGGACGGCTCAATATCTGAATATCTCTGATCACAAATCACGTCATCGATCTTCTGCAAGGCATGAACTGGGACCCCCGGAAACATTTTGGTGCAATTATAGGAGAAATACCGATAAACTTTCCAAGTGCGCCCAAAATCTGCCGACCTCTCAATCAACATGGCGGCTGGTCGGAACGTCTGCAAAAAACATAAAAGTGACTCATTTAGGAAGGTTCTGCAATGTACTGCTATGGTCCAATCAAAAACCTTATCAACTACAGACAGGTAGCTGGTGTTCTAGAAAGCTTGTTGCTATCACATAATGTCCTCTTATGGGTTTGGTATCATTAGCCATCTTGACTGGGTGGACTGGGATGACAACTTCAGTGCTCTAAGATGGAGAACTGAGTGATCACATGACTGCTGATCACCCAACTCTCGGTCTGTTCCAAGTCATAGTGCACTGAGAGGTGGAGCCAACTGTCAATTAGGTAGCCAGGATGATACCAACAATATTGTCGGGATCCTTCCTGAGCCTGCAGAGGCTCTGTCCCAAGTGTCAGAGGACTCACTGTTTCTGTTTCACTTCCAATACTTAAATGACCACCACGCCTTACTGCTCTCTTAGGAGTGGGGTAGTCCAAATGCACCAAACACTGAAAGAACAAAGAGAGGGCGCACCAGCCTAGCACATGACCTTTATACACCATTTATTGATCAAATGAAACCAATAATTATACTCACAAACCAACATGTATACATGCTCATCAAGAAACTCCGAGACTGCTGCACAATCTTCTTACCAAGGGAAGAAGCCACACAGGTCTACAGAAGCTAACGGGTTTCGAGGAGGTGTCCCCACTGTCAGGAATGGACTTGCCAATAATGGTGGGACTCACCTGCCTTGTGGGCTGCAGTACCAGGGCTGGCCAGCGGGTGCTCTCAGCAATCAGAGACTCACCCCTGCAATCAGCCAAACACCTGAAGCTGATTGCAGGGGTTGTATTTAAGGAATGGCCAGACTCACAGTCAGGGTCTTGGTGTGTGTTTTTTCCATGGGCCCCTGTACCTTGTATTCTGTATTCCTGTTCCTGTTCCTGTCTGACTTGTTGCCGACCTTGCCTGATTCTGACCTCTGCTGACTTCTCCTGCTTGATCCCTGGCTTGTGACCCTGACCATTCTCTGCCTGACCCTCTGTACCGCGCTGCCCGTGAGTTACTGAACCCAGCTTGTGTCCCCAACCACTCTCCCCCTGTTCCTGGTACTCCGTTTGCCCGTTTGCTACTGACCCGGCCTGCCTGACTACTCTTTGTATTGTATGTATTGGTATCGGTGGGTGGTTTTGGTTTGGTTTGTTTGCACTGTGTTTATGTTTAGTTTTGCACTGCGTTTTGTATTGTTAGTCTTAATAAATTATATTGTTTATACCATATCTGAAGCCTGCGTTTCCCTGTGTCAGTCCACACCCCTCTGGTCATACCTGGAGCCCTGACACCCTCTTTCTCAGAAGCAAGTGGTCAAGTATGCCATTCGGTCCAGGTGCTGTATTCACCTTTATTCTGTCTAAATATTTTTGGATCATATCAGTTGTGAGCCAATGTGGATCATCTGGAGTTGTGTCAATACCCTGCCCATTATGGACAAGAGGCCTCCCATGCTCCTTTGTATACACAGAGCTGAAGAAGGGATTTAATAAATTTGCCTTCTCTTTGTCCCCAGTCACCCCCTCTAGATTATTTTGTAAAGGGCCTACATGCTCGGACCGAACCTTTTTACTATTAATATATTTGAAGACTTTTTGGGGGTTGGTCCTGCTATCTTTTGCAATCTGTCGTTTGTTTTCAATTTTTTTATTTCCTTTTTGCATAAACTGTTATATTCTTTGTAATGTTTAAACGATGATAGCGTTCCTTCATTTTTATATTTAATAAAAGCTTTTTTCTTATTATCTATAGCTTTTTTTTAACTTTGGCCGTAAGCCACATAGGTTTGATTTTTAGCCTTTTAATTTGTTGCCCATGGGAATATATTTTGCAGTGTGTTCACATACAGTCTTTTTAAAGAACTCCCATTTTCTGTGTTGTGTTCATCTATACTAATATATCCTTCCCAGTCTAAGTTTTGGAGATCAACTCCCAACTGGGAAAATTAGCTCTCTTAAAGTTGAGCGTTTTTATATTTACAGTATGTGCTAAACATAAATGAAATCATGTTATGGTCACTGCTACCCAGATGTTCTTTTATATGGACATTCGTAATAAGCTCCGCATGGTTTGAGATTTGCCAGGTCCAGCAGAGCTTCATTCCTAGTTGGGGCCTCTATGAACTGTACCATAAAATTATCCTGTAGTAGGTTTATAAATGTTTGCCCTTTAACTGTTCCTGCAGTACCATTACTCCAGTCAATTTCCGGGTATTTAAAACCCCCATTATTATCACTGTCCCAGCCGTTGCAGCCCTTTCTATCTGTGCAAGGAGCTGAGTCTCCACCTCCTCATTAACACTGGGAGGCCTATAACAAACTCCAATGATTACCTTTGTAGTACACCCTCCATGTGCAGTTCCACCCATAATGTGGGCTGGGTCTAATAAATATGCATGCAATGTCATAGATCTAGTGAACATACATGTACACAATATCATAGATACTATGAGAAATAATGTTGCAATGATTGTAATGCAGTATAAATACACACTAATGATGCCAGAATTGCGTCGTGGACATGCAGATTTGGCTTTTTGTTTCTCCACTATTTTGTGTCATACCAATACAAACAAAATAAAGAAGCATGAGAACGCCAAAACATTTGTAAATGCAACAATTTTCTTGGCGAAGTGTTGCATTACCTGACAGACATCCGGGGGGGCCAATATTTCTGGCCACGTTTTTGTAGTTGGGTTTAGATACACTTTAAGATATTTGTTTTATAAAGTGACATGTCTTCTTTAAATGACAGTACCTTGAATTTTAGGATGAGATGTGTAAAGTGGAATTCTGCTTCCAAATCGAGCCGAATGCTTACTGTTTCCACTCCTAGAAACAAAGACATTGAATCATTAAAGGAACACATTTGAAGAGAATGGATTGTGCTTTGGGGGGCAAACAGTATTTTTTCTGATGGACAGGTCTGAATGGGGACAGTCCATGTAAGGGGGCACTCTGATGAGGACAGTCCATGTAAGGGGGCACTCTAATGGGGACAGTCCATGTAAGGGGGCACTCTGATGGGGACAATCCATGTAAGGGGGCACTCTGATGGGGACAATCCATGTAAGGGGGCCCTCTGATGAGGACACCTGATGTAAGGGGCTCTCTGATTGGGATAACTGTTCATATGTAAGGGGGCACTTCAATGGGGACACCTGATGCGCACTCTGGGGACTCCTGATGTAAGAGAGCAATCTGATGGGGACACCTGATGTAAGAGGACAATCTGATGGGGACACCTGATGTAAGAGGGCAATCTGATAGGGACACCTGATGTAAGAGAGCAATCTGATGGGGACACCTGATGTAAGAGGGCAATCTGATGGGGACACCTGATGTAAGAGGGCAATCTGATAGGGACACCTGATGTAAGAGAGCAATCTGATGGGGACACCTGATGTAAGAGAGCAATCTGATGGGGACACCTGATGTAAGGGGGCACTCTGATGGGGACAATCCATGTCAGGGGGCACTCACAATATATATATAATTATTTATTTTAAATATATTGAATACGGCCAAAATTGCAAAATTTTAGTATTTAAAATATATGTCAATATATTTGGGAAGAATATTTTAAAAATATATTCTTCAGATTTATTTTGACTTATAAAAAAAAAGTCATTTTAACATATTTTCACATATATTTGTAAATGCATTCCAAAAAATTTAGATTAAATGTATTTTTAAAGACATACAGCATATTTGAAAATGTATTTATAAAAAATATTTTTCTTATATTTTGTAATATATAATAAAATGGACTTTAACATACAGTATGTATATATATATATACAGTATATATATATATATATATATATATATATATATATATATATATATATATATAAATAAATATATATATATATATATAACTATTTTTTTTTAAATATATTGAATGCGGCCAAAATTGTAGTATTTCAAATATATGTCAATATATTTGGGAAGAATATTTTAAAAATATATTTGAAATATATTTTTTTTCCATGTGGGTAAGAAGTCTTCCCTTTCATTTTACTAGTTTCCTAAATTGTCAGAGTTCCAATTCGGATTCCACTTTTATCTGCAAAGGTGCCCAGGGCACTAGGAAGGGTTAATGACGTGGCTCGGAGCCAGCAGACTGCTAGCCGCCTGCCCAGCGTGACCCATTGATAATACTTCGATCCCATTCGGTCCCCTGTGCTTTTGTGCCAGGCAAGTGTTTAATGACATGCAAATGTATGTAAATAAGGTTTTAATAGGGAGATTTAGAGCAATTAAAAGCAATTTATTACAATGTTCAAAGGAAGTAAGCTCTGTCCCTGTCACGCCAGCCTGTTCAATCATTGGAGGTCCTGTAGTTGGTGTTTAGGAAGGAATCAAACAAATGATGGCAAATTGGGTGGGCAAATTGGAGTTCATTGTTTAGTAACTTTTTTTGGCAACCAAATGTTACTACAGGGATGCTGGGGAGATGGGTGGGGGGGGGGGGGGGAATTGTATTACCACATTGAATACTGAAAAGAGAACTGTGGCCTTTCATCGAAAAAATAAATATATAATAAAACTTTACTCTAGGGCCGGGCCTTTTGGCCGGGACCAGAGAAATTTTTTTATTCCTGGCTGAACTTCCCGCCGTAGTACTACACTATGGCACAAAGCGACTGGGCCCTGGCGTTCTGCCACCGGGCTACAAGGGAGGAGCCCCCGGGCTTGGGGCTGCTCAGTGTAAAATGCCCGGACTATTTTTTTTTTTCCCAGCCCGAGCCCGCAGGCAGCCAAAGGTACAAGCAAATCCTCCAATCCCAGAGGACGCCATTTTTGGAGAAACGCACGTCGAGCTGAGCTTTCTGTGATGTCCTCGTGTTCTGGCCGGTGGTCGGGAATTTGAAAGGTTTACACTGCCTTTATGCACCTTATCTATGTAAGTGCAATACTTTAATACATTTTTTGCTGGTTTATCGGGTCACACTATGAAGTTTTCTTCTTCTGTTTTAAACCTTTCCTTTTTTTTCCTTCTTTTATGCAGTAGTATTTATTTGCTTTATTATTGTTGATGATTTTTTAGTGTAGAGCGCACTCATTTTTTTTATATGTTTTGTATTTTCTGGTGTTCAGGGAAAGAGTAGCAGCAGTTCACTAATTGTTTCACTATGGTTTCAGAATATATATATTTTTCACACATTTATTCACATATTGTATTTTCTGGGGTGTAGTGCAGGTTTTTTTCCCTTTTTTTAACCACTTCCCATCCGTCCCATGTATATAAACAGCCGGACGGGAGCAGTGCGGGGGGGAGTGGCCGTTTATAAACATCCTTCTCGCTCCCTGCTTGTGAGCGCTCCCTGGGAGCTCGCAGCACTGCGATCTGGTGCCCGATCGTTGTACGGGACCTCTGTGTGAGGTCCCGATCATGTGATCACTGATTGGCCAATCAGTGATCACATGAATAATAGTAAGCAAGATGTCACTTCTGACATCATTGCTTACTACCAGGGGCGGACTGACAACTCATGGGGCCCCCGGGCAATAGGGGATCATGGGGCCCCTGTGTCCTCGCCCACACGCAAACCACACCTAAAAAAGCCTATGAAAGGTACCAGGGGCATTTCATGGAGCCCCCTACTGACCCCGGGCCCTCGGGCAGTGCCCAAGTTCCCAAATGGTCAGTCCGCCTCTGCTTACCACGTGTGAAATCTGTGAATGATCACAGAGATCACATGGTACAGGGCTATTCACAACAGCCTAGTACCATGTGACAAGCTGTGACCAATCACAGCTCTCACAGTATTTCTCAATGGCTGCAAGAATGCAAACAGAGAGAAGGAGAAATGATTGCTTTTACTGCCTTTATGGGTATGAAAGCAATCAGTGTACAAAAAAAAAAAGAAAAGAAAATCTTCATCAACCCCCTACAGGTAGTACAGTGTCACTATGGTGATATTGCACTGCTAGGGTGACAGTATGTAAAAAAAAACCCATAAATAATAATATAAAAAATTAAATAATGTAAAAAAAAAATGTTTTACATTATAATTTTTGGTCATAAACTAATTTGTTTTTTTTGTTTTTTTTCACTAAAAAGATAACTGAATACATTTTGGCCAAGATTTATGAAGAAAGATTATTTATTTGCAAAGTTTTATAAGAAAAACATTTTTTTTAAAAAATATTTGGATTTTTCATTTATATATAGCAAAAAAAAAAAATCCCAGTGGTGAATAAATACCACCAAAATAAAGTTTTATCTGTCAAAAAAATACAAAAAAATTCATATGGGTATAGTGTTGCATGACCGCGCAATTGTCATTCAAAGTGTGTATAGCGCTGAAAGCTGAAAATTGGCCTGGGCAGGAAGGGGGGGAAAGTGTCTGGACTGGAAGTGGCTAAATCCTGACTTTTATTGCAAAAAGTCGAGCTTTGCCCCACTCTTTCCTACCTCTTAAGCATTTCCAAAGAAATTCCAGAGGCAGAAGGGAATACATCCCTAATACTGCTGAATGTTTAGGCCTGCAATGTTCACTGATGGCAATATTTACGTGTTCAGCGTATGGTCAGTGTGAATTCCTCATGCGTTTGGTTTAATTTAAAGACAACTGGAATATGTCACGTGACCTCTAGTGTTAACCCCTTACCATTCTCGGATTGCCACCATGTCTTCTCTCCATCGGGTCCTGCCAGGTAAATGACATTTTGGATTCTGTGGCTTCCCCTTTGGTAGGGCACCCGTGAGTCACAGATGAAACATTTCTCCGACTCCTTTAATGCAAAAATATACAATGAATATAACAAATTCCTACAGACACAGGTAGTGTATTTACAGACTCTATAAAGAAGATATTGGCAAATATCTATAATAATAGGAAGATAGACCAGTGCCAGCATTACAGAAATATTGAACAGTATCAGGAAGAGCATGAGTATTAGCAGAGAAAACCACAATTTTAGAGCAGCCTTTCTCAACCAGGGTGTCCAGGCACCCTGGGGTGCCTTGAGGCTTCTTCAGGGGTGCCTTGAGGCTTCTTCAGGGATGCCTTGAGACTTCTTCAGGGGTGCCTTGGCAAAATGTCTAGAAATTGGCCAAAACTTGTATACAAGCCAGTCGGTGGGACAAGCCTGCCTTTTAGTTACACAAAGCCACAGGTTTCCATTGTACACCATTACGACCTTCTAGCCTTCTTACAACCAATGACATCATCAGTTGATAAGGAGGATGTCAGCTGCCTGCACAACATCCTAGTTTGACCCTCCCCCGCCCCTCTCCATCAGTGCTGGGGTCGCATTAGCTCAGTGATGGAGAAAAACTGAGGGAGAAGAGAAACACTGGAATAATAGTCAGTACCAGTGTGCAAAAGTGTGTATTTGCTTCAGAAGAATAAATCACCTCTAATGTTGGGTGTCCTACATGTGTGGGTGTTGCTGCGTTATATAAAAACTATTAGAATCGTTTTTCACATTTTAGAATGGAGTGCCCTTTTAAAATTATGGGCAGGCTAGAGGCACCCTATTTCTGAATGGGGTGCCTCAAGACTGTCCATAATTTTAAAGGGTGCCTCGGGACTGTCCATAATTTTAAAGGGTGCCTCGGGACTGTCAATAATTTTAAAGGGTGCCTCGGGAATGTCCATAATTTTAAAGGGTGCCTCGGGACTGTCCATAATTTTAAAGGGTGCCTCGGGACTGTCAATAATTTTTAAAGGGTGCCTCGGGAATGTCCATAATTTTAAAGGGTGCCTCGGGACTGTCCATAATTTTAAAGGGTGCCTCGGGACTGTCCATAATTTTAAAGGGTGCCTGGGGACTGTCCATAATTTTATAGGGTGCCTCGGGACTGTCCATAATTTTAAAGGGTGCCTCGGGACTCTGTCCATAATTTTAAAGGGTGCCATAATTTTAAAGGGTGCCTCGAGACTGTCCATAATTTTAAAGGTGCCTCGGGACTGTCCATAATTTTAAAGGGTTTTCGGGACTGTCCATCATTTTGAAGGGTGCCTCGGGACTGTCCATAATTTTAAAGGGTGCCTGGGGACCCATAATTTTATAGGGTGCCTCGGGACTGTCCATAATTTTAAAGGGTGCCTCGGGACTGTCCATAATTTTAAAGGGTGCCTCGAGACTGTCTATAATTTTAAAGGGTGCCTCGGGACTGTCCATCATTTTAAAAGGGTGCCTGGGGACTGTCCTAATTTTAAAGGGTGCCTGGGGACTGTCCATAATTTTAAAGGGTGCCTCGGGACTGTCCATAATTTTAAAGGGTGCCTCGGACTGTCCATAATTTTAAAGGGTGCCTCGGAACTGTCCATAATTTTAAAGGGTGCCTCGGGACTGTCCATAATTTTAAAGGGTGCTTCGGGACTGTCCATAATTTTAAAGGGTGCCTGGGGACTGTCCATAATTTTATAGGGTGCCTCGGGACTGTCCATAATTTTAAAGGGTGCCTCGGGACTGTCCATAATTTTAAAGGGTGCCTGGGGACTGTCCATAATTTAATAGAGTGCCTCGGAACTGTCCATAATTTTATAGGGTGCCTCGGGACTGTCCATAATTTTAAAGGGTGCCTCGGGACTGTCCATAATTTTAAAGGGTGCCTCGGGACTGTCCATAATTTTAAAGGGTGCCTCGGGACTGTCCATAATTTTAAAGGGTGCCTCGGGACTGTCCATAATTTTAAGGGTGCCTCGGGACTGTCCATAATTATAAGGGGTGCCTCGTGACTGTTCCATAATTTTAAGGGGTGCCTCGTGACTGTTCCATAATTTTGAAAGGTGCCTTAACTGAAAAAAGGTTGCGAAACACTGTTTTAGAGAACAAGGTAGGAGAGCACTAGAACAGGAAAGCACTGAGGAGGAAGATAGGTGAACTGTAGACAATGTTAAAATTGTAAATGTGCTAGAGAAGAAGGCAGAGGAACACCAGAAGAGAGCAAGGAAGGAGAGCACTAGAACAGAAGAGAACTGAAGAGAAAGGAAGAAGAACATTAAACAAGGTCAAGGTGTTAAAGTTCTGAAGAAGTAGACGTCAGCAAAACACTAGTATTAGTGGAGAAGAAAACTTGGGAACAATAAAGATGGTGAATGAAGAAGGATAGTTGAGGAAGTCAAGTTAGGAGAGGGCAAGAAAAGGAGAAAGCATGGAGCTTTAGAGAAGTATAATGTAGGAGAGCACTAGAGAAGGAGAAGATGAAGGTAGGGGAGCACTAAAGAAGGAGAAAGTAGGAGAAAATTGGATGGGGTGAAGACAGGGGAGCACTAGAAAACAGGGTGGGGGAATAGTGGAGCATTAGAGAAGAAGGTAAGGGAGCACTAGAGAAGATGAAAGTAAAAGGATACAGTAGAGAAGGAGAAGTTAAAGGTAGGAGAGCACCTATGGTGAATGTAGAAGAGCTATTGATAAGGTGAAGGCAAGGGAGCACTAGAAATCCGTAAAGTCTTGGAGTGCTAGAGAAGGAATGGGGTATGTAAGCACTAGAGAAAGAGAATGTAAAGGAGTGCTAGAGAGGAAGCACCTGAAGGCAGAGGAGCACCAAAGAAGGAGAAGGTAGGAAAGTGATGGATAAGAGGGGAAGTAGTAGAGCACTAGAGAAGGAGAAGGTATGGGAGCACTAGAGAAAGAAAATGTAAAGGAGCACTAGAGAAGAAAAAAAAAGGTAGAGGAGCACTAAAGAAGGGGAAAGTAGAAGAGCATTGGATGAAGACAGGGGAGGACCACAAAGGGGGGGGGGGCTATTGGAGCACTAGAGAAGTATAAAATAAAGGGGCACTAGAGGAGGAAAATATAATGGTAGGGCACTAAAAAAAGAGATAGTAGGAGAGCAATGGATAAGGTAAAGGCAGGGGAGCACTAGAAAAGAGGGTGGGGGAATAGTGGGGCACTAGAGAAGATGAAAGTAAAAGTATGCAGTAGAGAAGGAGAAGTTAAAGGTAGGAGAACACCTAAGGTGAATGTAGAAGAGCAATTGATTAGGTGAAGGCAAGGGAGCACTAGAAATCCATAAAGTCGTGGAGTGCTAGAGAAGGAGAAGGTATGTAAGCACTAGAGAAAGAGAATGTAAAGGAGTGCTAGAGAGGAAGCAGCAGAAGGTAGAGGAGCACTAAAGAAAGAGAAGGTAGGAAAGTGATGGATAAGAGGAGAAGTAGTAGAGCACTAGAGAAGGAGAAGGTATGGGTGGGGTTGTCAGTGTATGGGGCACGGTGGTAGTGGAAGGCTCTTGGGGGTGGAGGGGCTGGGGTGTTGTTGGTTAATGTCAAGCACTCTTCGCGAGGGAGGGGGGTGTTGGTCGGTGTCAGGGTCTCTCCTTGGGAGGGGGCGATTTTTGTGTTGCCTAGGCCAGCATGAAACCTAAATACACCACTGCTTGAGGGACCTCAGCCACTCCCCAACGGGAGGCTTGGCAAGGGGCTGGACTCCCTTAAAAGGTGTTAGAGTTATCCTATACACCCCTTACCCCATCCAAGTTTAATCCCCTTAATAAAAAAAAATGAAACCAACACTCAAGGCCTAATTTCTGACCATGGATGAACATGTGTGTGAAAAATGCTGATTGACTGGCTGTGCAGGACAATAGGGACACCCAAATTCAACAGCAACCCCCAAAGGGGTAGTGCTACATAACTAAATGTAACATGTAATGTAACCAAAGCCAAAGAGAAAATGTTAAACTTCAGCTTTAAATTTTTTGGCAGGTAGGACCGATCACAAATGTATTAATTTCTTTCCCACATGGAAGAAAAATATATTTTAAATATATTTTAAAAATGCATTGTTAATATATTCTTCCCAAATATATTGACATATATTTCAAATACAACAATTTTGGCCATATTCAATATATTTCAAAAATATATTTCAATATATTTGTGAATATATTATTAAAAATATATTCAGAACACATGCTGAAATATATTTTCAAATGTGTAATTTGGAATGCATTTACAAGTATATTTAAAAATCTATGTTTAAATGCATTTTTTTTAGCTGTTCAAAAATATCCGGAAAATATATTTTAAAACATATATTTTTAAATATATGCCTTTGGAAAATATATTTTAATTTACATTAAAATATTGTATATATATTGTAAAAAATATGTCACATGTATAATTTGTTTTTCTAAATATATTGGAAATATATTTCTTTTCCATATGGGTTGCCTGGAGCTCCACTTTAATTTTTATTTTCTTCAGGTATCAGCGGGAGTGACAAAGCCGCATTGTACCTCAGGAGAATTTGTGCCCAGACTCTCAGATAAAGCCTTGGCCCTGAGTCCTGGTTGGCAAGTCTGTTATCATTCTGATTAGGACTGGCCGGGAATGTGTCTCCAAGGACAGGAATATAATGAAGTCTGTGTGTCTGTATGGAGGGAGCGTACAGACGGGTCGGGGGGGGAGGACTAATCACTTGATTGACAGCAAAGCTCTGTCTGCACAATTTTTGAAAAATGTATTTTATTTATTTATTAAAGGTACATATATAACGCCGTCAATTCACGCAGCGCGTTACATATATATATATATTGTACATTCACATCAGTCCCTGCCCTCCTACATGGAAGAAAATATTCAATATATTTAAAAATATATTTAAGAAAAAAAAATAAATTAAAAAAAAAAAAAAAAAAAAAAAAATATATATATATATATATATATATATACATTTGCAAGAAAAAGTATGTGAATCCCTTGGGATTACGTGGAGTTTTGCATGAATTGGGCATAAAATGTGCTCTGAACGTCATCTAAGTCACAACAATAGAAGAACACAGTCTGCTGAACATAATACTACACAAACATTAGATGATGCCATGGTTTATTTGCACATAACATGTAAACATTCACAGTGCAGGGAGGAAAAAGTATGTGAACCTTTGGACTTAATAACTGGTTGAC